TTTTGTCAAATTTTTATGATATCTTCAAACATATATTTTATTCAAAAATAAAAACATCATCGCTTTCTCAAAATCACATAAAACCATATTATAACATCGACTGAGATAAAAAATAAAATGAAATATTAAAATCGCGATGTATCTCGCTGCATTACGCAAGTACGCTTCTAGTATAATTTAATAAATAATAAAATGTTTTAAATCCCAATAGATTTCGGTTAACTACGATGGTATTTTAGTCATTTTACAATTTATTATCTTTTCCTTATATTTTTATTCAATAAAATTGTAAGTGCACACATGCATAAATCATGTGTAACCTAATAAAACATGTGTATAATCCATTTCTCAATGTAATCGAATTTCAAAAGAGTACTTCTATCATTGTCTTTATGAAAAAGAAAAATTAATTACTCGTATTTAAGTTTGATGCATGTTTTGTTTTAATTGTTGAAAATTTAAAATTTTAAAACGTTGTAAAAACTAAATATTAAGGGGGTGTTTGAGATTGCTTATAAAAACAACTTATTGACTTATTCCGGCGTGACACCGGTAATAAGCACTTTAAGTGTTTGGATAAACAACTTATACCAGTGTCAAACTGATAATAAAAAGTTTTTGAAGAGGTTAAACCCTTCTGATTTATAATAAGTTGATAAATGTTTTTTGTTGAAAAAAAATAAGTTGTTTCAAATAAGCAATCCCAAACACTCCTTAAATGAAGTATGTGGTATAATAAAGGAAAAAGTTTGGAAAAAACCTTAATAAACTTTCTATTTTGAATTTGAATGAAAAAATCATTAAACTTTCTTATTTTGAGTGATTAAGTCTCTGAACTATTATTTTGAATGAGAAAACCATTAAACTTTTATATTTTAAATGATCAAGACTCTGAAATTTTCTTAAAAATATAAATAAACTATCGAACTTTTACTAGTCTGTTAATGTAACATTTTTTAGGTTAAAAGGATGTAGCAACTACTTTTTAAGAGTGCAATGGTTTATATTTAAAAAAAATTCAAGGACTTGATCAATTAAAAAGAGAAGGTTTTTTGGTCCTTACTATATTCATCCGATGAGGTAATGTTACTTGGTAAGCGCTTACCAAGGTAAGCGTTTGGTAAACGGCCCCTAAATATATAACCTTAAATGAGATTTTAATTAAATCCATGATCTTCTGAAGAGTATAAAATCAATTTTCTTTTAATTAGTCAAAAGATCATGGATTTAATTAAAACCTTGTTTAAAGTTATATACCTAAATAGGGTTTGGTTCAGACCGGTCTGGTTCCGCGAGACCACAAAATTGCACTGAAACTTAAAACTTTGTGAAGATATAAAAAAACACCGAACCTTCACAACAAAAACACAGTGAAGGTTTACCCACAGTGTTTTGCTATGAAGATTTAATCATTCAGTGTTTATTTATATAGTCTTAAGGGTTTCATGAAAACAGTTTGATCTGTATCTCTGCATTTGCTTTCTGCGAATGCATGTCACTTCCAAGAAGAAGGATGAACAAAGATGGAGATAGCCAAAGGGTAAGCAATCAAATTCTTTTTTGTTGTTAAATTTCTTTCTAAAAAATATTACGAAGTTCGGGCAACAACAACATAACGCTTACAATACTTAACCTAATCTAACTGACAAATAGATATCGCATGTTTGATGGTATAGAATTTTGCAGATAAAAAAGTGGACATCCTTACAGAATAATATAGAATCTCGACCATGTTATTTGGATGTAGAAGCAGTTTTTACATCAGTGCCTTCCTGGCGTAAACTGTGGTCTCTGCGATAATTTGTCTTGGCTCCCTGAGAAATCAAACGAGAGATATTTCAGTATGTATATTATAAAGCTTTTAACTATTTAAAAACGACTTATTGAACATTAAGTATTGCTTAGTAATGGATAATCCCTTAAAATTCATGTTTACAAGTAATTTTGCATACCTACAGTTTTTTAAAACTCTTTGAATTCTATAAAATATTTAAACTAACTAATAATCAACTGATAAACATATTCAAATACAGAATGATCATTGGACTACTGATATGACATAATACTCCATACTGCTATCCTTATCCACAAAAGGAAATATTTCATTATTAAGTCTAAAATAAATTACTCTAAAATATTTGAATTATAATGAAATTCTGAATCAGACAAATTATATAAAAAACGGAAATTTTATAATCTTTAATTAGACCCCAATATCGAAATACATATTTTTTGGGTTCTTTTCCAGGTCTTCAAATTAGCAAGACATGTTCAACTATTACTTGTAATTCTATTTTATTCAAATATAAATCAGTTTTCTTTTTCAATGAGAAATTGCATTAACTTTACATTCTTGATTTACAATAAAATTATATGTCCCGTTACATAACACAGGTAAACAACTAGTAATATTTATATGCATGCTATTCGATACTCTTTTCTCATTACAAATTCTTCCAATTATGTGCATTCCCTGAGAATATACATACATATATAATTAGGAACCCAGAACCGCCCACAACATGCCACGTGTTTCTCATAAACAACACATTCATGATGATTATGGAATTTCCCTCTATATTTTCATGATGAATAACATGTCTATATTCCTGATGAATATGCCACTTGTCATGCTGTGGATGGTCTCATGGTTCCTAATCAATTTTAGGTTCCCGATGGAACCTGCCCCTATATATACATGCATATATATATATATATATATATACACACACATGTATATATGTATAGCACAAAGCGTAACCTCGTTCTGTTTATGAAGGCTTTTTCACTTGGCATTTTAGATTATCCAAAGATTTATCCATCTAATAACCAAACGAATCTAGTATATTCCACCCAAAGACAGGGTTTGGCAAGAGGAATGTGTGCAGACATGGTCTCTACCTCAAACCATAGAGTGGCTACATCTGTGACGACCCACGGCTTGTGAGAGATCAGACATGTGTTCATCTTTTTCGTGAAAAATAAATTTTGGTATAAAATTAAAGCGAAAACCGTATCAAGTTCATTCTATAAAACATGATAGAGAATGGCAAGGACATGTTAACTTACTTGGAATATGGTTCCAAGCTTCTTCATTCCAATAGCCCGTTGCTTGAGCTCCTCTTTCGAAACAGTAGGATCTTTGAGCACCTGAAAGGGAAAACATTGAGAATTATTTGCCAATTCAAATAAACTTAGAAGGCACATAAAGTTGGTCTTCCAATTGGACCAAAATCCATTAGCAGACCAAGTAGAAGTGCAAAAAGGACCCGTTTAAACCGATTTTGCAATGGAAAGGACCAGTTAAAGAAGGCCTAGCCCAAGGACCGGTGTAGCAAAAAGCCCAACGTGGTCCTCGATTTTGATCTAGGGACCGGTTAAAAAGATGCCCAGTCAAATCCCGAAAACCGGTTAATTGGTTAACTGAAAACCGGTCCGGTCAAGACCCGAATGCAAAATAAGCCAAGTAACAATATAACCAAACTAAACACATTCGGTATGTCCCACTTGAAAGTAGAACTCTGGAGGTGGGATGTAGACCTGTCTACTATTGCAAATGGGAGAGCGGTTGTTTCTATGAAGACAGACCCTCCCTCCCCCCCGAGCTTTTGACTTTTTTTTTTGGCAAAGAACTGAGTGCTTCAAAATTTCAATTCAAGGGGTCAGATTGTCCGAAGAATGTACATCCTATCGTATACCATGCATTTTCTGACACATAGATGCATACTCCCTCGTCCCAAAATAAGTGTCTATATTTCAATTTTAAATTTGTCCCAAAACAAGTGTCCACTTTCAAAGGTAAGTGCCTACTTTCCAAGTATACCCGTAACTAAAAGATGGATGAATTCATTACTTACTGTATTATCAAATGATAAAATTGTCATTTAGTTAATTAAAAAGTGTAATTATCACATATTTCTAAAACTGTGTTATATTTTCATGGTGGACATTTATTTCGGGACGGATGGAGTATTTTCTTTCTTTGAATTAAACAAAAAAAATACTCGAACTTACCGCTTGGCAGACACGGGATAACGTTGTCTCAATATCTACAACATTGATCTGCCACAGAGAATTAACCATTGCATCTTTTTTTTCTTCAAGAGCTTTCACTATCTGTTCTTCCTTACCTTCTGTTACATTCAGCTTCTTCAGCTCCTCCTGTATTTGTATTAAAGACACAGCCCCTACATAAAGCAAAAATAATAAACTTCACTGGTTTCTTTTAAGTTTTCTAATAATGAAACTTTAGCGAGTACCAAATGATTGAACCTGAAGCAGCCGAAACTTGTGATTTCACTTGGTGTCCTTTATCCCTTACCCATTCAGCCAAAAATGGGACCTTCATATAACGCTTATCCTTTCCTAGTTCTCTTGCAGCTTGCCTTGCATAAATATAGCCAATAGTATGTAGCATAGCCTCACCAAAAGCTGAAAAGTTATGATAAACCTTGATTATGGAAAGAACCGAAGAATCAAAGGAAATTGATTTCTAGTAGCAAAGTGAATCCCGTAATTGAGGCAGTACTGACAAGCTACGGGTGGTCAATGGGTATCTAATAAGTTCTACCTACTATTGGATTGGAAACAATGATTCCTACCAACATTAGATTGAGGTGTGCAAAAAGTAAACCGGTCCAATTGGAACATACCCACCATAATTGGATATCCAATTGTAATCGGATATCCAATTGTAATCGGATCGGATGGGATTGAAAATTTCAACATCAAATTTGGATAGGTCGGTTCTTGCATAGCAGTCCAGAACCGACCAACTGAACATACCAACATCCAATTACGCATCCAATTAACCATCTGAGTACCATCTAGTTATCCATCCAACTACCATCCAATTAATTGTTTTCAATTTGCTTAAATAGGAATTTGTTTTTTGTTGGTTTTTGAAATTTAGCCTCGCTTGCGTTGGTTTTAACACTTACTAAAAGTGACCCTATATTTTTCTACACTACAACGGAGGAATGAAGAGGTGGCCCGTGCCACCGTATCCAATAGAGTGGGTCCACCCCTGCATGTGAATGCTTAGGACCAAGTTCAGAATACTAATCTTGTCTCTTGAAATAGTTGATAGAATCTAAGCAGACCTATAGAGACAGCTGTTTGTAATCTATTATGGAAACGATATTAAAACTGCACATTGCTTTGCTGTAATACCAATTGGGAAGAGTATAAATTTGCAACTTCTCTAGCAATCTGTACAATTGCAACTACACCAAAGATAGCCCTTATTGTGAACACGTCATAGGAGCTCTAAAAAAAACAAACCTGCTTGTGAGAGCTCGCGAGCTTCTGATGTTGCCCATGTTACAAATTCAGATGTTTTGCCTTCAACAAATGGCCGAAGGCGATTCTTCAAAGTTGTTATAAGCTTCAGTTCCCTCTCCTTTTGTAATGCCTATACAAAGGGTGAACGTACGATATAGCATATGTGTGTGTGTATATATATATTATACATATATATATGAAAGTAATTGTTCTCATTTGAGGAATGAAGCAAGAAAGTATACCCTCATCCTCTCTTGGACTTTCATCTTGCGAATTTCAGGAACCTGTCCCTCCTCTTCAAGTTCTACAGACTGTATGGAAGCCATATAAAGTTCCCCAATATAATCCTCGAACAAATCACTACCAAAGAGCATGCCAAACACAGCTGCTGGATCCACCATCGAGTCACTGAAAGAAATTACAAATAAAAACTCAGGTTTAAATTATTAATAAATATAAATAGACAACGCAAAGAGGCATGGGTTAGAAAAGGAAAATTGACAAAAATAGCCAATCAGCAAATAGGGTTTCACTTTTTAGCCATTTCCTGACCCAAATTCACTTTTTAACCACCCAAGTCCATAGTGTTGAATGTTTATTCCAGACAGCCCAAAAGAGTGGAAGATAGGGCTGGGCCCAATTAGCTATTACAGATTGAAAGTGTGTCTAATAAATGGCCGGAATGCTGGTAGCATGAGGTCATTGTGATTTTTCTTGTTAATTGAGTTAGGGCCTTAGCGGTGACTTTGAGAGAGGGAAGTTTTCCCTGGAATCGTGTTTGCTTTTTCAATTGTAAGTTTCCAATTTCGTTTATAATCAATTGTTGATTTCCCGTTGCTTTTTTAATCCTTTCATTCTACCAAATTGTTTGAGTTCTTATCATTGGTCTGACCTATCGTTGATCTGCCGGAATTCTCCATGGAAACTCATTCTCAACAAGCTCGATTGGATCATCATGAGGAATAGATTCAGAAACTTCAATCAGATATGACTAAGATCAAATCGGCAATACATTATGTGGAATCAGATCAAGTGGAACAGGCGAAGTTTCGCAAATTCGTGATGAATTGGGTGAAACAACAAGGTAAGCCATCTAGTACTGATACTGGTGAACGATCTGGTATTTTTGAGGAGGATCAATCGGATTTTCTCTCGGAAGAAATCCAACTTTTCCTTTGATAAGGGAGGGGAGCAATTATTGAACGATCACCTTCCTTGGGCAGCAAAGAAGGTGAAGTTGCCTGAGTTTTTTGGTTTCGATCCTGGAGGATGGATCAAAAAGGCGGAACTCTACTTTGAGATCCATGGGATTTCTTCACAACTACACATCCGTTTGGCGCAATTGAGCATGGTAGGGGTCGTTCTACACTGGTTTACAATCGTGAAGGAGATTTATGTGCCATTATCATGGGATCAATTTACCAAAGTGCTCCTATAGCGCTCAGTGGTTTGAAAATTCACTGCATTAGCCTCACATTATCTTCTTGAGCTAAAACATATCTAATATAGTTTCATGAAAACTGACACCATGGTTTTGAAATTAAATCCAATTTATACGACACTAGCACACCATGATCTTTTAAAGCTAACACAATAGAATGATGCCATGAAAATTGAGGCCATGCCTTTTAATTCAAATTCCAAACAATGGCGTTTTTTGGCGTATTAAAAGATGGTAGTTCAGATTTCCTATGTCTATTGTATGTTTGCAACATAATATTTGCAATTATTAGCCACAATTGTCAGAGAATTTCTAAAATTATGGCTTTGTAAGTATATTTTCAACATTTACTTGATTAACATGACCCCACCTCAGGTGGGATATATTGGGTTCGTTTGGTTTGGTTTGGTTTACTTGATAGACACGACCTCAATCCTAAAAACTACACTATAATCCTCAGGCACTACCTTAACACCCTTCAGGTTCAGAATGCAAAGAAATAAAACAATCCTCGGTGCAAAAAAATGATGTATCATACTTACTCTGGTACTCCTGACTTTCCATTTTTGTCATACGCTTCACGCTTCTCAGGATCACTTAGAACCTGATAAGCCTCTCCAAGCACCTTCATGCATGACAATATATTGATACTCAAGATTGAGAAATGAGAAACTTTGAGTAACTAAAGGATAGAATTCAAAAGAGAATCAAGTCAAACACCACACCTGAAAGTTATTTGCAGCTTTTGGATCCCCGGGATTTTTATCAGGGTGAACTTTCCTTGCCTTATAAGATAGCATCAGAAAGCATTATTATGTAATAACATATTAAGAGCTTATCAAAACCGTTTGTATGTCAATATGTGATTAATTTTGGATCGAGCTTTATCAACATACTTGTGATGGATATTTTCCAGCTCACAAATAGATAGCTTTATCATGCATAATTCTAGTGGATATTTTCAAGCTATTTGAGCTCTCTAATCGAGCAAAAGGAGTAGGAATGCTACATATCTCCCAACTAGATTGAACCAGAGTATATGAAAACTCAATTCTCACATGCCATCATCTTTGGTGAAACACAATATTTAAGAATTCAAGAGATCACAATAATTACACGCTACACATGATCTGTAGTGTGAACCACAAGTCTTCTTTATAGCATTTAGCATTTTCCTTGAGGAAGGGATAAGAAATAAACGTACTTTGACATAGTAAGCCTTTTTAATATCAGATGAAGAAGCATCGGCACTGACTCCCAAAATGTCGTAATATTCTGTGTCCTTCACCATAGTTCCACAATTACCAACTCTTGTAAGGCTGGTAAAAGAACAAAAAATACCGTATTATAGCAAGAAGGAATAAAAAATCACAACGATAAAAATCAAACACAAGTTCTGAATCCTCCATGGCAAGAAAATTCCATCTCAAGCCTAACAGCATGAGAGAATCGCAATAACATAATCAAAGAGGTAGCGGAGTGACTTCTATTTTCATTAAGAATGTGAAGATTATGAGTGGGGTGTCTCTCACTTATATAGACTATTTATTTTCCATAATAAATCTATTGTAGTCTTTACCCTCCCTCCATTTCAAACTCAATAGACACATCGTTTTGTTGCTAATTTCTGAATTTTAAAGGGAAGCTCATGGAACAAGCAAGGCTACTCCTTTGAGACCCCAATGACAAAGGTTCTGCCTTTCGCCTACAAAAACAATCTTTTTGCAAAAATGCAAGGGAAAGCTTCCATACCAACACGTCCTCTCCAACTCTCAAAAGCTGACAAGCCTTGGTGCACTAAGATGGCCTTTTTCTGAACTTTTAAGACACAGTCTCCCCACCCAACTTCACTTCTTAGCCACTCTTCTAAGAGAACTCCCATTTTAGCAAGAGTTTACGCAAATGCCTTATGCATTTGAGTAAAGTCTATTGTCAGATTAAAAAAGAAAGAAACAAAAATCTTTATGAAAATTTGCATGAGGATCCACATCTGTGTAAAGATCCCCATTTGCCTAAAGAACTTGGGTAAAGAGTTCTTTTTTTCTGTTAATCTGGAAATAGGCTTTGGCTAAAATAGGAATTTGGTTCCAAAAATGGCTAAAAAGTGAATTTGGTTGAAAAGGTTGGTTATTTTGATCAATTTCCCTTGATATGGACTCACTTAAATACAAAATTTTCAAGCATGATGTTATCAGTATTACTTGTAATTCCAAATGGTCTACAATTTCACTTGTACTGAACTCATATAAATTTCCATCATTATTAGGTTTTGCTTTCAGAATATAGAAACACATTTCTAATATCGAAAAGGGGGCAATATTATGTTATTTGCACAATCTAGAAAGTGCCCTAAGTGATGAATACTCCCTCAGCCAATTACAACACTTATCAAATTCAAAATTGATATGAATGTACTACTTGTCATAAAGTTCAATCAAATTCTAAAATGTATTAAAGAGCCGTAACAATTCTAATTCGAAAAGTACTACCACATTAGATTTTTTCAACTTAAAAAATGCAGCTCCCTTTACAACATTCTGAAATCGAGATCTAACAACAGATTCACAGATTCAAAATGAAATATAAATATGAATTCACTCGAATCATTGTGATAAACATGTATTCAAACGAATCAAACCGAACACTTAGATAAGCTGGGTTCTTAATCGATAACAAAATTGGAAAAAATGGGACATAGAATCACATAATTAATCTGAAATACAGTGAGTGAGAACCAATGGAACTTACGATTTTGCGAATCGAAGATGGATCAAGAAATCTGTAAATATTGAAAACCTTACAAAATAATAATGGCTACAAATCGTTCAATCAAGCTCCATAATGATTCGTTCTTTTGTTCATTGTTGTCCAAAAAAATGCAAGAGTAAGTTACGTTTTCAGTCCAAATGGTTTGCTAAAATTACAATTTTAGTCCTTGTATTTTAAAATTTGTGGTTTTTTCATTTTTATAATTCGTTGTGGTTTAGATTATTTTACTGTTTTTGTCCCTTATGAAGTTAGAAATTAACAATGATGAAAATAGCAACAAACTGTTAAACAACAGGAACAAAAATCACAATCTTTAAACCATAAGGATAAAAATCATAAATTTTAACAAACTACAGGGACTAAAATTGTGATTTACTCTAAATGTAAAGTAGACACCATTATTGGCTCTTCAGCTATTTCCATTCTTCGAATGTTGTCCCTTATCTATTAATTATTTTCATTAATTGTCGCAAATTAAAATGTTCTTAACATTTTAGTCCTTTATCCTTTTTGCGGTAATTCATGTAACTTTTTTTTGATTAACCTGAATATCCAACCCGCTATGTGAGCCGACTAATCCTAGGATGACCACCTGCTTTGCAGATAGCCTGGAGTCACCGCATTTGAACCTCCGTCGCCACAAGGAGATTTTTATTTCTCCTTGGATTTGAACCTGAGCCCTCATGGTACTTTTGACCTTTGGAACCAAGCTCAAACCAATCAGGCACTACCCTTGCGGTTTATTCATGTAACTTATATCATAAATAAATGGTAGAAACATCGGTTTGTATATATTCACCTCCACCCCCTACTTTCAAATGAGATATACCCCGAGACATTAATTTTTTTGGTTGTCGCATAATAATTTCCGTAATATAAAATAAATTTAACTTTATTTTTTTACAATACGATAGACAATATCAACGGTGGCATGTGTCACCACCACTGATCTTGTAATTTATATGCTCTAAGTGTACTGAGTATGTTTGATCTGGTTTTATTTTAAAAGTAAAATAGGTCACTCGAGAAAAAAAAAATAGACTGTTGTCGATGTGGTACTAATGATGCATTGGATAAGTTGATTGTTTGAGATCTTCATATAATGAATTCTCGACCTCCATGTTCAACAAAGAGATATGTGAAATAGCGTCTTTGCTAACGACTGTGGCTATGTTGTATCATCGTTGTTGTATGAAAGTATGGTTGTAAATAGCATGAGACGTGGCGTGACTTATGACAACAAATTTGTGTATCGTATATTTTGATTCACAGCAAAATGGCCATATTTAGTGGGTGATGTTAGATCTCAGATCAGTTGGACTTATATCCATTCAGCTAAAGATATGTTGGAACACCTTTCGTTCTACAAAGGTTTTTTAGAAAAGTAATCTAATGGAATTCCACATATTATTAAATGATATCAGAGTCAATTTTTAGCATCTGAAGCATACTCCACATTATGTGGCATCGCCACCTGTCTAACCTATATTAGAGGGAACATGTTTGAATCTCACGTCTATTCAATTTGGACTTGCTCTTTTCAACATGTGTTGAAGCCTTTCTCCTCTTTTCGGAAGTAATCTGATAGCATTTCATATATATTTACAGACCAATGGGCCGTTTGGTTGGTTTTCCATTATATGTAGATCAATATGTCCGAATAAATTCAGAAACGTTCTATTTGGAAGAGTTTTTTTTATAGATGGAAGAAACGTGCTTTCAATTGGGAGGAACTCGTTTGGAGGAAAAAACTTGGCCGCCTTCATAAAACTTCCCTTGGAAGCTCACTGAATAAGCCATTTTCTATATCATTAAACCACTACCAAACAGCCATTAATAACTAACTGAATAAGTTACGAATTATATTAAGCTCATTAAGCTGCTAACAAATACGTCCTAAATAAAAAATCATAATATTTCCATTAGGAAAAGATAAAAAAGAAGAGCTCTGTTTTGGATCACAAAATCTTGGATCAAAATGGTTACAACTCACAGCAATACAGAAACAGCAAATGCCCAATTTCCACCATATATCTACACTACATGTGTCTTCAGAAAATCAGCCCCATTTGCATGTTAAAATCTCTTGGATGTCAACTTGAACCCTATCTCAATTTTCACCCTTTACCATTATATATCCCACATAAATATCTGCACCAAATATATCATTGTTAAAGAACAAATACAAGATAGAAACATTAGTAATTGAGCCAAGATACGGGATCAACCCATCATGGGCAACGTAGGGCCAATCCAGTCCTCACTGTTGGCCCATGAAGAATGGATTGGCCCTACATTACCTGTGTTGAGTCCAAGGAATAGCCTTCGACTCAAGGTGATGAGTTTTACAAAAGCGTCCAAGGAATAACCATTTGGTTTGATGGAATGTTTTTGAAGGATTTTGAATTGGGGGGTTTGAAATTATTGGTGTGTTTGGTTTGTAGGATTTGGAATGGAATTGAATTTCATTTACTGTAAATAATTTATAAAAACAAATTATAAATAATAATAATAATTATTATTAAATTATTTTTTATTGATTGATTATTACAAAACAAGTGTTTTAAACATATTTTAAAACATTATTATGAAAAAATTCTACGAAATACCGACTACCCCCATGGGATTTCTAAATCAACATAGGATTTCAACGAAATCCAGGGATTTCAAATCCAAGCAATCCTTCAAACCAAACATGAGAATGAAATGGAATTCAATTCCAATTCCGAATCCAATCCAATCCAATCCAATCCTGTAAACCAAATGGGACCGAAGGGATTTTCTAAATACAGCAAAGGTCGTTAAGGCTCTGGAAAGCCGGTACCACCCATATCTTTCATATTTATTATATTCGAGTATTATTGGAGGGAAATGAAAGAAAAAGGAAGGAAAATAACTGATTTTCCTCCCAGATGTGGGAGAAAAGGGAAAGAAAAATAATAATAACAATTAAAAATATTTATAAAATTACACAACTACCCATTAATTACAATCCGTTTATAAAGTAAATAAGGGTATATTTGTAAAATGACATTTTTCCTTTCCTTTCTCTCCTCAAAAGCATACAAATTTATTCTCTTCCTTTCTTTTCCATCCCTTTTCTTTTCTTTCCAAATTCAAGAACACTGTCCACATTTATGTTTTAGTTTCTCCCAAAATAAGTGTCCATTTTTTTCCAATTCTACCCTTAATTATGAGATGGAGAATTTCAGTACTCCCTCTATCGTTAAGGGTGACAATATTTATCTAACTAAAAAGCGTAATGATTACGCACTTCTAAAACTGTATTTTTTTTATTGTGGACATTTATTTTAGGACGGACAAAGTATTAGAAATCGTTCGGTTTCATGCATGAAATACTGGTATCGAGTTTCTGAAATCAAGAGTCGAACCCTTTTCGGGATGGGGAGAACTAAGAAAAGATCGAAAAACAGTAAGGTGCCATACCACTGCTGATTCTTTCTGAATTCAGTTAGAACCGGATATATATTCTCGAATGCAGTGTAAGTCTCGTCTCGAACCTGAAAGTGCATAATAAGCAACGATTTAAAACGCGTTTCTTTGAGACGATGCAAGGAATCTATCATTGACATAGGGCTCCATCGTACCTTAGCTCCTGTTAGAACAATTTTTCCCGAGACAAAAATAAGCAGAACGATTTTTGGTTGTTTCATCCGATAAATCAACCCCGGGAATAGTTCTGGTTCATACTGTAAGATAAAACACAAAAAAGCACCTGTTAAAAGCATACAAAAGCAAAATACGTGTCCACAACAAGTGTTCGCTTTCATAAGTAAGTGTCTGCTTTCTAGTTCTGCCATCTGTTATAAGGGTAAAATCGTCATTTAGTTAATTAAAAAATGTAATGATTACATGTTAATTAAAATTGTGTACCTTTTTCATTGTGGGCGTTTATTTTGGGAAAGAATGACTAACATTTCATTTTTGGGTCTTATTTATCGGGCATCGTCCAAAAAGTGTCGATATTTCTATTTTAGTTTGTCCCAAAATAAGTGTTCGCTACTTCACTAAAAGTAAGTGCCTACTTTCTAATTGTGCCATTAATTATGAGATGGATAAATTCACTACTGTTATTAAGGGTAAAATTGTCATTTTAGTTGATTAAAAAATGTAATAGTCACAAATTTCTAAAACCGTGTGCCTTTTTCATTGTGAGCGTTTATTTTGGGAAGGAAGAAGTAAGGCTTTCATTTTGTGGGTCCTATTTATCGGACACGAGGGATATAAATATGCTAATGACTCTCTAATGAACTTGGTGTACGAAAGACGAATCACATTCTAATGAACTTACGCTTGAAAAAGCACCATGAGAGTATGCGAGCCCTTCGAGTCTAATGGGAAATTTGACATCACATGAGCCAACAATATTTTGTATCTTAAAATCCTACAAGCCAAGAAAGAATGTTAATATAGCAAAAAATACATAAAAATGTACACCGACAACAAGAGATGATAAATGAACCAAACCGAACCAAACCAAACGAACCCAGTTTATCCCACCAGAAGATGGAGTCTGGGGAGGGTGTGATGTACGCAGACCGGACCTCTACCCCAAAGAGTAAAGCGGTTGTTTCCATGAAGACCCTCAGCTTGTGAAAAATGTGCGAAAAACAAGAAAGTTTGCACTGAAGAAGAAATGGGACACGAAAAGCGAGTAAGAAGCAAGCAATAACGTACAAACAGAAGTAGGTACAAGAAAACCGCTAAAGAAAAACCACACATTGGATTTAGGTTGACCAAATATACAATAACGAGAAAATAAGAAGATTACCTTAAACTTTGCCGGGAATCCAAGTTTTTGAATAATCCGAGCATACTAATGAAGCAACAAAACACAACACAATAAGAACAAAATACTATTGCACCATGTTACAACTTTAGCATGGCATAACATTGTCCACAATAGCAAGTTCTCTCTTGCAACTAGTTAAAACAAAGTTTCTATAGATACCTCAACCCACCGCTCCCGCCCCCCCTCCCCCCCACATAATCCCAAAACCGATCCAAGCTGATTTCGCATAGTGGCTTCATTGAAGGGTGGTGCTTAGCGGTTGTACAATTTTAAGGGAGCAATTGGATTTGCAAAATTCAATAGATTTTGCTACTTTCTTTAAAAAGGTCGGAATGTTCCCCACGGCAAACCACCTTTCTACCCCTTTGGGGGTGGAGACAAGATATGCTTACATCCTACCCCCAGGCTCCGCCTCCTCGTGGGATTTATTGGGTTAGTTTGGTTTGGTTTCGTTTCTTCACGTACCTTCCGTGCCGCCAGTTTTGATTGTTGTTCACTCTTGGCTCCTGTACAAACCTGGAGCAATCACCATTAGAACATTTTATCACTCAAGTCTAAAGAGATTGTAATCAACATTTGACATAAAAAAGCATATAAGCAAATATAGAGCGTTCGACTACAGCCCAACTGGTAGCAAGTGAGGCTTCGAAACTATAGGTTAGTTTGGGTTTAAGTCTCTTCAACGACATCAGTTCATTTTAATATTTCCCACTTCAAAGAAAAGATGTTCGACTACAGCCAAATGCTTCCATATAGTATAGAAACTGTAGTTGAGAAGGGGGGGGGGGGAACTTACCATCTTCCCTGAAGCAAAGATTAAAGCCGTCGTTTTTGGTTCTCTTATCCTCATGATCACAGCAGCAAAACGCTGAAGAACATCAACAAAAAGAGCGTCTTTGAGAAATGAACACTTCCTATGATCGAGAATATGCATTTCCAGCATACAGAAGGAAGGGTTTAATCTATTTCCCAGCAAAATAAATGCTACTATTTATGTTTTTGGATGCCCATAACAAATGCAACATTTCCCATGACGGTAAAGTTTCAACAGAAGCTATATCGTCGTCCATTAGTAACATCACAAAATGCAGATAGCATTCACTTACGCTGTGTTATCGAATTCGGGGAGAAAAGAAACGGAAGGAAAAGGAAGGAAAGGAAAAGAATTTTTATTATGTGTGTTCTCGAGAGGGAGGAAAAGGAAAGAATAGAAAAGAAAGAAAATGAACGAGAATGGAAAGGAAAGATGTCATTTTTACATATATACCCTTCAAAAATATATCCTTTCAAATGAAATGTTGGGTGGTTTTGTAATTTTAATAAATTTTTAACGGGTTTTAATTTCTTTCCTTCCCTCCTCTTTCCCTCCTTTCCATTTCCTTTCCTTTCCTTCGTAATAAAAGTTTTTTTTCTTTTTTTTTATTAACTTGGATATCCAACCCGCTATGCGAGTCGACTAATCCCAGGGCGACCACCTGCTTTGCAGATAGCCCGGAGTCACCGCATTTGAACCTCCGTGGCCACAGGAGGATCTTTATTCCTCCTTGGATTTGAACGTGGGACATCCTGGTACTTTTGACCTTTGGAGTCAAGCTCAAACCAATCAGGACCACCCTTGTGGTTTTCGTAATAAAAGTTTCGAGAACATAACGGTAGTTGGCAAGGTTCTTCTCTCTTCCAAGTTCCAACCATTTGTAAAGATTTGACTAACGGTCAAACACTTCCGCTAACGGCTACGGCAACAAGGATATCAAGTAAACCGATTGCTTCCTTCAAGTGGAGTTTACCGAATGTTTCCTTCTAGTGGAGTTCATAAAACAGCATTGAACATAAGAGAATACCTTGGGATTATATTCTGCATTACGAGCTTGCAGTGCAATCGCCTTAAGGTCTAACTTGCAATCCAGATTGACCGTAGATACAATGTTCCTAGATGTATAAACAACGACATCCTCATTAGCAATATGATAACTCGAGAAAGAGATATTCGAAAAGACATGCAGCCGTTAGTTCCAAACATTGGTAATGCTATCAACAAAATGTACAAGTATCGAGTAACAAAATAGGGGCCGTTTACTAAACACTTACTCTGATAAGCGCTTATTGGGTCAATTTCTTAACAGGTGAACATAACAAGGACCGAGAATCTTACCCGGTAAGAGGGAAGGCAAGGATCGAGAGTCTTACTGTAAGTGAGGTGATGACTCTTACCCGGTAAGCACTTACCGGACTGTAAACATTTACCATCGATCCATTTTGATGGTCGGGTATGAAACCCATAAGGTTACCTGGTAAGCATTTAGTAAATGACCCCTTAATCATTATTTAGTCATTATCCACTTTGTATGTTTTCTTAAATTTCTCTTGGCAGCAAGTAGATGGGACCCTAAAACACATCTTCTTTCTCCTCACATCATATAAATGAAACCCTTTAACCTTTTTGGTAGTCTTTCTTTTCAAAACCTTAAATATACATTTCATCTTTATTTCAAGAAAAGAAAAAGTTGCCAACTATATATAACTTACACAACACATACACATCAGGGACGGACCTATAGTGATGTGCCACCGTATTATTCCTTCGTCGAAGGGTAAAAAAATTTAGGTTCGTAAAAGGTGCAACCGTAATAATTTGTTGTATGTCATCGTATGTATTTTGAAACTACAATGAGAACAAGTTTTATTTGGTATAGTTGGTTTGCAAGGCTTTTATTCCACCCTTACCAAGTTCGAATCCTGTTAGTGCAATTTTCTTAGTCAAACTGTGCCACCATTTGAAAAAGAATCCGTATATTTGTTTCTTATAGTCGAACAGTGCCACCGTTTGAAAGTTTTTCCCTATATTTTTTAAATTTTCTGTTCCCTGGACACATACACAACAAAATGTGCATATCAACAAATCACATACAACCAAAAAAGCTCAAAATCTGTACAAATCTCAGTTCCTGTTGTCAGTCTACCAATTAGCTTTTTTTTTTGGATTAACCTGGATATCCAACCCGCTATGCGAGCCGACTAATCTCAGGGTGACCACCTGCTTTGTAGATAGCCCGGAGTCACCGCATTTGAACCTCCGTGGCCACAAGGCCTGCTTGGACCCAATTAGCTATTTATGATCATAATTGGTTGTAATCTTTTGGGTTTTTCCCAACATATGTGCATGGCTAAGGGAATTCTCACATATAAACCCATGAACACACACGAACAAGTACCTGCTGGATCACCCAATCATAAAAGGGAAGACGATGATGAATTACAACAGGGCTTACTGAAGAGTAGGAACGATTCCAGATGGGTGCTTGGAGAGATCAACTGGTTGACTTCCCTCCAACAATTGATCCGCCATTACTCCCTTCCCTTGATCCCGTGAAAATTTTATCCCAAATCGCTCTTCAAATCTTAAACCAAAAACAAAATCAACGTAAAAACATAGATAAAATCAACAATCCCCAAGTATGTTTTCCTTTCTTAAAACATTTTCCCGTAAGAGATCTATGAATTTGATTAAAAAGTTAGGTTTCTACAAATTTGAAAAATACTTTCAAAAGCTTCAAAATCAACTCATCACCCATGTACCCGATCATTTAAATACGGGTAGAAAGCTTGGATTTCATAAGTAAGAAAACGAAAAATGTGCATAACGGGGTATAATTAAACCTTTCTGATGCGGAATCTGAATTTAGGGTTTCTTCAATCCTTCACCAAATTGATGAATCAAAATAGGGGGAATACAATACAAATTGGTGAAATCGACTAAAAGGGGTGGTGTAAAGGAGCGGTGAAATTTTGAAAAAGGGATCTTTTATATGAACTGATGATTTTATAGCTTTCTATAGAGGGGGATTTATGAATAAAGAGGGAGGAGGGTCAGAGGGAGTGAGAAATATGTGAAGCCGGTGAAGATGTGGAGGAAGGATAATGGAACGCTGGATTCGTTGGTATTTATATTATCCCGAAAATACCCCTTTTGCTGTATTTGTGGTTTGTGGGCATTATCGTAAATTCGAGCGGGAAATGCTCGCTGACTGAATGTCATGTTATTGTCGGTGAAGGACGAATCGTTTTCTTACACGTGGTTAGAAAGCTGCTGTGATGTTCCTAGTTGGGCCGACCGGCCCATTGAGGTTTTAGTGTTTCTAGATTCTAATTGGGCTCGGGCTCTATAAAATGCGTGGTTATTTTGTATTTAGGGGCTCATTAGCTAAATATTTATACTATGTTATAAAGTATTTGACAAAAACTTTTAAAAAATATTTTTATATGTAAAGTACTGTTTATTATTGTAAGTAGATTGTGCATAAATACAACTTATTAAAGCTCCATATCCGAATTCGTATAACTAACTGCAGATAAACATAATCAGGATAATCATTGAGTTCTAACAGAATACTTAATTATTATCTTTATAAAATGTTATATTATTAAACCAAAAATCAATTATTTCGTTATTAAACTTAAATTAAATTATAATAAAAAAATAAATTAAAAAAATTACATAAAAATGAGAACTTTTAAATAATTGATTTGTTATTAACATTGATAATTTTTTTTCAAAATTTTATAATATTTTCAAATTTATATTTTATTCAAAAATAAAATCATTATTGTTTTCTTAAAAGCACATAAAATATAACATCGACATAGACAAATAATAAAATAGAACATTAAAATCGAGATGTGTCTCGCTGCAATGCACGAGTACTTTTCTAGTTTATTTGTTAAGTATTTATCGGCAAGAGTTAATATTATGATTTACTTTATCGGGTAAGATTATATTCCATTAAAATTGTATCGTATGAAACAATTTATCCGATAAATATTTACTGGTCAAGTGTGACTTTTTGTTGTAGTTTAGCACGTCGATGTTATGTGTAATGATAGAATATTGGCCAAGTTTGTATGATATGTGTGTGTAGATTGTCACTTCTCGTATCAGTTCTACTTAATATTATCCCAATAATCATGGTTGGTCCAAAGTTTTTTGATGCTTCGGGAGAAAAAGTTAAAACATTTCCCAACTGGAAAAAAAAAACGCAAAAATATTTTAGAGTTTGTAGAACTGTTCAAATGGTGTTGGTCCATATACAATTATTTGCACAATTTCTTCCAACAAAATGGTGTAAAACTTTATGTAAACTGTAGTAATTCAATTTCAATGACGTATTATATTATTTTTTTGCATCAAATAAATTAGTAAAAAATGTATTTCATATGTAGCAATTTACCCGGTAAGTACTAACCTTGGTAAGAGTCGTCGTCATCACTTACCGGGTAAGACTTTTGGTTCATGCCTTCACTCTTACCAGGTAAGATTCTTGGTCATTGTCATATTCATCCGGTAAGGGAATGTGACTTGGTAAACGCTTACCCGAGTAAGCATTTGGTAAACGACCCTTAAGTGTTCTGCATCATGCAAATCAGTTAAGATATCTCATTTACCAATTATGTGTCATGCTTGTATAAATGTGCATATGTGTTTTAGGTTTTCAACAGTGTTACAATATTTTTTTATCCAACCCGTTATGCGAGCCGACTAATCTTAGAACGACTACCCACTTCGCAGGTAGCCCTGAATCACCGCATTTGAACATTCGTGGACACAAAGGGATTTTTATCCCTCCTTATATTTAAACCTGAGACCTTCAGACACTTTTGACCTTTGGAACCCAAACTCAAACCAATCGGACACCACTCTTGTCTTATGCGACATTTTCAACAGTTTGATATGTTTTTTGCATGCATAGTTTCAATATGATTCCAATGCTTAAACATTAAAATTTTTGAGCAATTTTTTACAGCAACAAACTCTCTAAAACGGAGAAAATATGAAAGAGTATGAGATTCTCCAGATATGATTATCATTAGAGAAAAATATTGTTTTATTATATTTCTCGCTGATAAAATACTTTGAAATTAAACGGTTTAGAAAGGAAAACGAAGAATTCATTAAATATCTGAACCATTTTAATAATATAATCAATGTTGTAATCTTTAAAATGGAAAAACTGTTATAATTAAATGAAATTTTCTTTTAAAGATTTTGATTTTTCAATTTTTATTTTAAAGAAATTATAAAAGACAAGATGCTTTAAAGATGAATGATCATTTGAGAATAAAAATTAAGGTGAAAAGCATAAGAAATGATATGGACCATTGATCACTTTTAATCTCGCATCCATCCCATGAATCGCGATTATCACGGAATTGACTCTGGTGCATTTTCGTGCACCACGATAGTGTTGATCTTCAATTAGAATTGATCCAAGCATGGAGAGCTCTTCTTACCTTTCTCACCATAACTTTCATTCTCACGGAAACTCAACCAAGTCTAAATACCTTTGCTGTTTAAACTGGTTTTCAGCTTATAATACAATTTTCAGCATAATATGTATTATAAGACTAGTGAAACCTGTAACATCCGTCAGCAAATGATCAATAAAAATATACAAAACTAGTTTTCTTGTAACACTGTATTGACCATCTTCTATGATACAATTCATATCATAATTTTTAAATTGTCGTATCAGCTTTATAAATTACCATCCACTATAATTATTTTTAACAGAATTTTTTAAACAAAATCTCATTATAAAAACTATATTTTAATCAAATATCAAAAAAATACATTAACTTATTAATTAAATACAGAATCGTCCTAATCTTTTTGTAGACCCTGTTACGCCTGTACTAAAACTATAGATCATCTGAAACGAGTAATAAACAAAATAAAGTATAAAAGTCCATGTCATATTAAAAAAATTACAAATTAAAACAACAAAAATATATAAAAATGACAAAGTGAGAAAAATATCGAAGAGTCATTTTTGTTTTTGATCGAATTTTTTTGAAATTAAATTAAATAGGTTTTCATTGAGGTGAATTCATAAGTTGGATTATATAAATAAGGGATCCAAACACAAATTAGATTGGGTCCCAAAATGTTGGAGGCCCTGTCCAAAAACTCATATCTAACATGCTGATAGACGGCTCTGATTAAATAGTTATTATAGAGTAAATTTAAGTGTCTTGTATAAGAGGTTTACTAAACACTTACTTGGTAAGTGCTTAACGCATAAATTTCCTCATCGGATGAACATGAGAATGACCAAGAATCTTACCGGGTAAGAGCAATGAGAAGGATGGAGAGTCTTATCCGAAAAGTGAGAATAACGACTTTTACCCAGGTAAGCGCTTACCTAGTCAATTGTTGCATTTGATATGCTTTGATATTATTTGATATTAGAAAGCGCTTACCTAGTAAACATTTGGGTAAACGGCCCCTAACTTTATTGTATATTTACGTATATCTAATTTATTAATAAAAAACTATATTAATTAAGGCATAATGTAGTATATTTTATTTGTGTGGTAATATTAATGATATTTTGCATTTTTTAGATATTCGTTAATATATTAATGTTAAATTTATCATTTAATAAATAAAAAAAATTATATCAATATTATCAATAATCAAACTATTTGTATTTTGTAACACCCGAAGTTCTATAAAAGAGCGACTACAGGCAATTTAAGATTTAACACTAAGGTGGCGTTTGTTTTTTAAGAGGTTCTGAAGTCTGAAGTCTGATTTCACTTCTGAATTTTAAGAGGTGGTACTGAAGTCTGAAATCTGAATCAGTCAGACTGTTTGTTTTTACGTCTGAAATCCGAAATCTGAATCAGTCAAGTTTTGGATCTGATAGATTTGGATCGATCTGGGTCATGATTTTACGAGAATATGTGGATCGATTTGGGTCGTGATTGATTTGAAGATCAAATGTCTTGCGAGATAGATTTGGAGGACTAAATCTGGAGGTGAGGATCGAGGGGAGAGTCTGGAGGGAGCGATTAAGAGGATTTAAGTGATTATGTTATCACTTTTTTTTTTCAAAGCAAATTAAGAGCTTTTCAGCTCTTATTTATATAAAAAAAACAAACGGTCTGAAAATAAAAACGTCTGACCGGTTCAGACTTAAGAGACATTAAGTGGTTTTTTTCAAAAAACAAACAAGCCCTAACAATCTACAAATCAAGCCTTACACAAAGTCCAAGTTAGGGACGGATGTTACTAAAGCCTAATAACCGTCACAATCTCCAAAATACAGAATATGACCCAAAATGTTAATCCTTCTTAAGCCTCTAACTAGCACTCAACTGTTCCAAATGGCGCTAGAACCAAACCTCCACAAGGACCTGATGCGGTCAAAAAAAAAAGTGTTAGACTTAAGCCTAGTGAGTTTAAACAATTTATACTTTAAATATAAAATAGTAAAATTGAACGAACACTCTTTAAGTAATGATTTACTCCAGGCACAAACATGGATGCAAAATACATGACACATTTTCAAAATCATCTTTTACTAAAAATAATCCAAAAAAGACAAATACATCTTTCGATGACGAGGTAGACCCCGTTTTCATTGAATGTGGTGGAACACAAAAGTAGGTCATGTATCAAAGTTATCAAACTACACCTTAAATTCAAATTGACTGTAGTGCTCACTGTATCAAGTGTCACCTCAAGTCCTCAATACCTTTAGTGTCTATTCCATTGAGTTTCACCTTAAGGGTGTGTTTGGTATGTTGGACAGGATGGGACAGGATGGGACAGGACAGGACAAAACACAATTGTCCTATGTTTGGTGTGGCCTTATGTGGGACTCACTAGAACTAGCTAGAACACCGGTGGGACACGCCTGTCCACCCTTACCCCCTGGAACTAACTAGAACAAGAAATATTTTACCTATCTACCCTCTCAAAACCCTTCTTTGCTTCCACCACATACTTCAATCGGCGGTATCGATTTCAATCAGCCGTATCGATTTTAATCGATTTCAATCGGCGGTATCGATTTCAATCGACACCCTTCGTTCCCC